CCCGGATGGATAGGCGCGCCAAGTGGCGGGCGGGTGTGATAGACGCGGGTTTCCGGTGGCGCTGGATTGCATGATGCAAAGATGCAAAGATGGCCGGCCTTTGTCCAAGTAGTTCGGGACCAGAAACCACCCTGTTTTTCTACGGATATCCCGTCAATATTGGTTGGTATCAACCCCCCCCCCCCTCCCCGGAGCTCACGGAGCCAGAGGCGGGATGCAGGCCAGGTCTCTCCCTAAGCACCGGAAGTCGAAGCGGGAATGCGGGTGGGACATGGCTCGTCCCAGCAGTCGGAAAAGATGCAACCTTTTCGCAGAAGCGTCCGAGGCGGCGTCAAGAAAAACCACGCACCCATGGCGGTTTCTGGGGGCGCCCGCCCCCAACAGGCTGTCGGACTTGGGCAACATGAGAGCGACGGTCGACATGGGCTCTGACCAAAGTATCTTTCGTAGCACCAGACATGGCTTCGGTGATGGAGAAAGGAAGGGGCGTGTGGACTGATGCGCCCTTGGCAATGATGGAAGGGGAGTGAATGAGTGAGTGAGTGAGTGTCTGTCGAGAGAACCAAGAGATTCCAAGCATGGTACTGATGGGCCTCGATGGCAATGGCGTCCGAACCTCTTCCCCGCTTTTCCCTTCAAGACGCACTTATTTAGACCCCCTTGCCCGTGAGGTACTGTACTTTGAGATGGGCTGTCGGGGTCATTTCAGATTGTGTCGAGGGTCTGAATGGAGGGGTGTGTGAGTGAGTGTATGAATGTATGAGTGTATGAGTGTATGAGTGAGTGAAGAGTTCATGGATGGATGACCTAAGCTGCCCACCCCTCCCCCCCCTGAAAATATAATATATGAGAATTAAGAATAAAAACAGATAAAAATAAAATAAAACAAAAAATGAAGGCTTCCCCATGAAGAGGCACGGACGCCTAGGCATACGAGTTGGAAACCAATGAGGGAGCGGATCACCAGCAAGCATAATGAGCAAGCGGGATTCTGCCCATTGATCGACCCTAGTTAGTCACTATGTCCCGGGTTGCTGCCCGTTTCCAAAACCCCTTCATCGGCTCTTGTTCTTTTGCCAGTCAGTCACTTCTTCTTGTTTACTGATTGTCTGTGCCAGCCCGGTTAACCACCTCGCCTCTTGTCTTCTCAGCTCATGGCATCGTATGAACCCGACAATGACCAGCGTCTTGGTTGCATCGCTCCATCGTTTTGCTCCCCTTTCTCCCTCTCTACCGGTTTGACCCTGTGGCCGGTCAACGACACACCTGAGGCTTTTCTCTCTCAGTCTCTCTCAGTCTCTCTCAGTCTCTCTCAGTCTCTCTCACTCGCTCTCACTCGCTCTCTCACACACATTCCGGATCTTGCTCTTTTGGGCTTCTCGCAGCTCTGGTCTCCAGCTAGATCCGAGTCCACCTCCTTCAGAGCTGCTGGACCTTTGCTTTTTGCACATCTCTCATCTGCATCTGCATCATACCTATCATCCCTGTTTCAGCGCCTCTTTTTTTCTCTTGCGCACTCGACTCGAGGGGATAACGAGATTCGAGCCCGCTAGCCATGCGCACCCCTCCAAGCGAGTGAGCTATGCATGCCTTGGCTACGTCAGTTGGACATTGTTCCGGCTCACCGTGTCGGCAGTGGAAGGGTGGACGGACTTGACGGCGGGCTGTTGCTGCATATTTTTTTCCTCGATTTTTGCTTTTCCTCACTTGCTGCACTGTGTCTCAACTGCATCACCCCGTCCACGACGTGAGGTGGGGTCCGTGGGAAGAGAGCCGATTGTTGCTGCTCAGTAGAATGGCTCGAGGGCCTGTGCCTGATGTTTCACATCGCACGTATCAAGCCCATCAGTCTTCCATTCCATGACGGGCGTGTCTCCATTCCCCAGGGTTACACACATTCATACAGATTCGCCCAACAGACGTACCGTAGAGAGACAGACGTATCAGCCCGGTCGGCCTGGGTAGGTACCTCTTTACACACGCGTACACACCCGCTCTCTCTCTCTCTCTCTCTCTCTCTCTCTCTCTCTCTCTCTCTCTCTCTCTCTCTCTATCTCTCTCTCTCTCTCTCTCTCTCTCTCTATCTCGTTTCCCTCCTCGTGAACGTCTTTCTCGTCCTTCTCCTCTGTTTCCGAACCCCACCACCACCATTGTAGGTAGTCGTCTTCACGCTCCCATGTCACTTTCTAAGCCTTCCCCACCAGCGGCGACGCGTTGTGCTCCTACGTTCGAAGATGGAGCCTCCCCCCTCCCCGGCCTCCCTGCTTCTATCGGGCCCGCTAGGAAAAAGTTTACTGCTTGTCTCGCTTGCCTTGGACGTCCATTTTTGGCCGATGAAGACTGATAGAGGACAGCTCCCGGGTGCACGCATGCCCCCCGACCCCTTGTCGTCAGTCGCCCTCGCCCCTCGCCAACTCGCGATCCACGGTAGGCCCCCAAATGGTTCATGCAGGTACTCTTTCTTCTTTGAGGTCCCCAGCTCTGCGAGCTTCTAGGTGCCTGGCTAATCCCAGTTCCCTCGGCCGCCGTGAGCCGTGGTCAACCCCTGTCGGAAGTCGACTCGACCAGCACGACTGACTGCCCCACCCCTGCCCGGCAAGGGTAGAGCTCAAGCCATGGTGCAAAACACAAGATAGAGTAGGGAGCACTGGACGCCTCTCTCTGTCCGGGCTTGACGAATGGCTTCCGGGGTCGTCATCCAGCCTCCATGGAGCCCAAACGTGAACCCGGTGGTGTACCCGGCCTGCTGATCCAGATTCGGATTATGGTTTTCTCAACCAAGGACCCTCTGCGTGCCCAGCATGACTATGAGCGAGGGCCCGCAAGTGCTCCTTTCTCGCGAAACATCCTAGTTTAAACAAGCGAGAGAGAGGGAGAGCAAGAGAAAGCAAAGACACACACAGAGAGAGAGAGAGAGAGGGGAGTTGGCTTGAGCGTTCCGATCCTCCGCTAAAAGCCGCCCATAGGACCGTACCTGGTTCAGCTTATCCTTTGATCTGACACCTATATGTGAGTAGCTCGCGTTCATGGACCGGCGATCGTCTCATTGTTTCTCAGGGACAGAGAAACAGACTGGACCGGACTGGACTGGAACCCTCCCGCAGCCAAGAAACACACACACACACACACATACTCTCTCTCTCTCTCTCTCGCTCTGGACCCTCTTCCTCTCGCCAGTCCCCTGTCTTCGTCTTCTCTCATAGATCGGTGGATCCCACAAGAGATTAGAGCCTCTCTGCCTCCCTCCGCGCCCATTCTTTCCAATCATACCCCTCCCCCCTCCCCACACCTCCCCTCTCGCGGCTCTCTCTCTCTTACTCTCCCTCCCACAATCCACTCCACCTCCACTATCACGTACTCAGACCTCGATACATTCCTATCTGGGGCTCTCTGTCTCTCCAGCTGGTGTATTGATGACACTATTTCCCCGTTCTGTCAGGATAGACTTGTCCATCACTCGTTAGGGGCGTCATCTTCATCTCCGTCCCACTCCGTCCCACGATATAATACTGCCAGAGCTGCTCACCTGTGGAACGCTTCCATTATCCCATCATTCTTCATCCTACTTTTAACCGGACAACTCGCTCCCTCTTCAGACGACCACACCCTCTCAAGAGCGAGTCAGCAACAACAATCAACAACGCCCACAATGATGTCCCACCAGCACCTCTGGCAACAGGAGCAAGACCACTCCATTGAAAGCATCATGGACATGGACGCCTTTGCTCCGGAAACCAGCTTTCACTATGACGGCTCCGTCAGTTGCGGAACCACAACACCGAGCTTCTCGGCCGCATCGTCCACCTACGACCCCAACGACCCATACACTCCTCGCTCAGGCCGGTCAACACCTCATGACCACCACTCCAGTCTTGACTTCGAGTCCTCCTTCTCCTCCCAGAGCTCCTTCACCTTCGAACATGCCGCCGCACCACAAGAGCCCAAGGGTTACTTCCAGAGGCATGACAAGGCCGACATCCAGATGCCCATGCAGTATGCCTCGGCCGTCCCCCTCACCCCGTCGAGGAGGCAGAGCTCAGGGTATGGCATGGAGCACCTGGACTACAACACGATGCTCCATGTCGCCATCAACTCCCACTGCATGCCCGGCATGTCCCCGCCTCATCACCACCAGCAACAGCTTCAGCATCAGCAGCATGCTCACCATCACCACCAGCACCAGCACCAGCACCAGCACCAGCACACCGAGCAATATTCCCTTCCCCAAGACCTCAGCTCATCACCCTTTGTGATGCCTACACCTCACCGCGCCCTCGCCAGCTCCACCCCCAGCAATGCACACATCTGGTCCTGCAGCAGCGAAAGCCCCATCATGATGTTCGGCAACGAGTCCACACCCTCGACCTCCCCCCTCCATTCCATGACTGCCAGCGTCAAGCGTGAGACCACACACTCGCCCTCGCCCCTGCAGTCGCCGCCCTCGGCCGGCATGTACCGCCAGGACCCTAGACGCAAGCTCTTTGCCGAGGTCCAGCGCAAGACCCTGGCCCTCCAGAAGAACCAGAACGACATGGAGGCCCTGAGGCAGCTCCGGTCGATCCAGGTCAACCAGGATGGGTCCGTCCTCGACTGCGGCTCGGTCAAGGTGCGCCACGTCGCGCCGAGGCGGGAGAGATGCACATATCCCGACTGCACCAAGACGTTCAAGAGGAAGGAACACCTCAAGCGCCACTTCAAAGCGTAAGTTTGTCTGTCTACAAAAAGTCGTCCATCCTTTGACATGGCACGTATCCTGACACCCGTCATGCAGAACCCACGAGAAGGAGGTTGAGTTGTACACGTGCCCCGCCACGAACTGCAACCACGTTTTTAAGGAACGCCGCGACAACTTCGTCTCTCACCTGCTCCTCCACAAGCAGGGCAAGAGCAGCAGGACTCCCTACAACGACAAGGCTGCCAAGCTGTACGACGAGATGTGCCTCCAGAGCAAGAGTCGCAAGCGCGTCAAGACGAGCACCAGCTCGAGCCCCAGCAGTAGCACCAGCAACAAGAACTGAAGCGTGCTACAGCGTCCTGCGTCTGCTGGTTGTCTGAGACCAGAAGAATAGAAAAGCCCCAAGGGGAGGGGGGGCGTGGGCACATCAGGGCCAGACGCAGCACAGCTCTTGGGGTTCCGGCCGAGAGAGAGGGGTGATACGATGCCAAGTTGGAACCCTGACCCCGGACAGAAAGGCCACCATCTCTCTCTCTCTCTCTCTCTCTCTCTCCTCTCTCTCCTCTCAGTCCGTTTTCCAAGACACTTCCAACGCGCACGCACGCCACTCTACATGGGCGATGACTTGGGCGATCCCTGCTCCGGGCGTCTTCCCCAAGTCCTCTCATCCCTGTCCGGGTTACCAGCGATACCCCGGTAGAAAGCGGCGAAGGAAAAGAAGAGGAGGGGGGGGAAAAAACATACCCCCAAACCCGAAAATGATTCCCTTCCCCCCACACCAAACCTGTAATAATCCCCTATGTTGTACGAAACAAAAAAAAGATGGACAATTGGGCGTCCCACCGGCAAACTGTTTGCATTATTTTCTTTTACCACCTTTTGTTTCCCACCGTCTCATCATTTATTTCGATTCTTCTGGGAGGGTGTTGGTTCTTTTGTTACTGGAGAGAAACGCTCCAAACGTCAAGGCGGTGGTGACCTTGCGGTCCTCTGTGTTCCTCGTATGCAACAACTATTTACCCACATTATTTACGATTGCCTGCGGAAGAAGAACACGCATACAATCGCACACACAAAACAAAACAAAGATTTACATATTCTTAACGATTGAAAGTCAAAATATGAATGGGGATGCTGCGACCGCGCCGCTTAAAAAAGGCTGGAGTGGAGGAGGGGGGGGGGATACCAAGCGGGGGGGGGCGCTGCTGAAAACGGCAAAACAAGGAGAGGCCACCCGTTCGATGATCAACGGCGAAAATGAGGGGCGCGTGGGTCGGGACCTAGTTGTTTGTACCGTATAGCATTGTGAGAGGATGAGAAGAAGATGGTACTGGGATGAGATTGAGATAGATTGTTACTACTATTGTCCCGTCCCTCCGCCGCTTCTTTTGGGGGGGAGGAGAAGAAGCAAAATTACCGGAATTCAAAAAAGAGAACCCTCCAACTACCTACCAGACGGTCAAGAGGTTTTTACCGTTCATACAAAGAAAGTCCCCCCCCCCCTCAAAAGAGTCTCGAGAGCCTCGTGTCGTATCACATCTCTTCCACATGCGTCGACATCCGAAATGCGTCGGGAGAATACCGCTTTCCATCTCACTTCCGCTGCCCTACGCAGATTATCCAGGAAAAGAAAGAGAGCATGTTTCTTGCCCATCATGTGACATGGAGCGATGAGAGTCGCAATAAGCTCTGGCGGTAGGGGGACGACGTTTCTTGGGTGGTATCCTGGGCCTTGGCGCCTCGGACCATCGGCGCAGGCTGACTCGCCGAGGGAGCTGGGCTCAGCTGGAGTGAGTGCGCTCGCTCTTGTGCTATGCCCTCCTCGGGAGGTGAGGCTGATCAGCTTTACCCTCCCCCCCCCACATGGGCGCGCACACTTGTATTGGCGAGCCGGGGCGGGACGGAAAGGCGCTCGAAACCCCCCAACTACCGCGCGCGCGCGCGTACGTAAAAAAAAGGAGGCTCTAGACGGCAGACCAGCCGAGCAGGGATCTGAGTCGATGGCTGACAGGTAGGACCTGTACAGGTCACCTACGCAGCAGCTCCCCCCTCCCCCCCCCCACCCCCCTCGTGCGCGTGGCGCGGGCCAGATACCGAGGTCGGGTTTGGTGGTACGATGGACATCAACCGGTGGTGCAATATAGGCGGCAGGGCGCTGGGCTAGGCTGGGGTAGAAGGAAACGGCGCGTGCGGACCAGGCCGTTCGAAGGGGGGCCATATTTCGTTTCTTGCTTCGTTTTCCCCCCCATCCCAAACGACCTACAGGGCAAGCCAGCTTGCTCATCAGGGGGAAACTTTCTGTACGGACAGGGGATATTGGTGGATGGAGATGAACGGACGAGAGGGCGGCAGGGGCGACAACCGTGGAATCTAGGGGCGAAGGATTTTTGACAGGTCTGATGAGTGATGATGGCATGGCAGGGAGTCTGGGGGGGTCAGGTGCAGGGGGGGGGGGGGGGGGGGGGAGCTGTGCATCACTATCATCGTGTACCTGTGCAACCAACCACAAGAGGGACCGCCTTGATACCGGTAACGTAGCGAAGTCAGAAAAGGAACAGCAGGGATGGGATGGGAGCAGACAGGCACAGTTGCTTGGGTGCTTGGTTGCCTGGTCACCGGCGAGGAGCAGGCAGGACAGGGCGAGAGCGAACCCTCGCTCTGTCTGGCTTGCTTCAACCCGTTTGTGGTGGCCAGCAATGGGGCAAAACCAGATGCCGTGTGACTAAAGATTAGAGCATTGGTTACTTTTGGGGGGGTTTCAGCGATAGCTACGGTTTTGCTTGGGTTGATTGGCAGTTGAAAGAGAGACAGGTCGAGGGCTCCTGCATGACATGAAAGACGACAGCAGCGGTGATACCTGAAAAAATAAAAATAAAATAAGATAGAAATAAAATAAAGATAAAAAAAAGGGAGGTGGGGGGGGAGAGAGAGAGAGAGAGAGAGGGAAGAGGTAAAGCCTAGGGAGTCGGACCCTGGCGCTGGGAGCGTTACGGACGTAGGGTTCGTCTGGTTGACGATATCCTGACCCTGACCTTGGCTTGACCTGGGCTTGACCTGGGCTTGACCTTGACCCTGACTGGCGTGTCGCCAGAGATGCAAATCTCGCAAGACACAAAGTTTTTTTCCCCATCGCACTCCCCGTGTTGGAAGCCTGCCTCTGAAGAGTCGTCGGCTGATGCGCCACGGGGATCAGGAGCAGCGGCAAGGTGGTATCGCAGCAAGGGGGCCACGTTTATTGGACCAATTTCGGAGCATCTTGTGCGAAGACCCTGTCCGGTCGAGGATCGTGACCGTACTCCTGGGACGAGGGAGGGCGGGTGGGAAGGGGGAGTTCTCTGCTTCTGAGAGAAATTTCGGATCTTAATCTTCCCCTGAGAGGCACGTTACCTAAAACAGCCTGGTACATGTCCGCTGCGGGCGGCCAAGCAAGCAAGCAAGCAAGCAAGCAAGCCGCAGCATGCAGGACAAGCAGGGCAGGCATATTTGTCAGGTTGATGAAGGAGAGAGAGGGCATGCAATGCAGCTAATCGAATACGGGCGGCGGAGACACGCTGCAGCTGCCCGACTTCGCAACGCATCGTCGTGAGCCTAACTCGACACGATGCATGAGAAGGGGGGGGGGCAGGCACCGGGATTTCCGAGGAGAAGGAGAGAAGATGATGCGGTCGCCGGCGGTCTCGACCGACGGAGCTTTGGTACGAAGTCGGCAGCTCATCTCGGACAAGAGACCACGTGGAAGCGTACACCCTGGTCGGCGAGAACCCAGGTCGAGGACCGCGTCAAGGATATGGGTGTGCGCACCAAGTTGGAAAGCAAGCAAGCTTGATGCCTTCGCCGGTAGCGTCCGTGAGCAACAATATCCGAGGCATGTTGGACGTAGTGACCAAAAGGGTGAAATGTATCGATTGGAGGGGGGAGAAGGACGACTCTACAGGTACAATGGACAGCAGAATCAGACTAGGGATATTCCGCAGATGGTGTGGCGGAGAGAGCGGAAGGGCGTTTTGTGCACCGTGCGTAGTTGCGGGGCGAGAAGCCGGGTTGACAGCCGGTCACGAGCCCCGCCGCCGGGATATGGAGTGGGTCTGGTCTTGAGCAGGCTCCGGGCGGATCCGGCGGGTGATCCCGGGGGGGGGGGGGAGGCCCTGCTCCGGACGCTTAGCGTCGACTAGCTGACGCAGCAAGCATATCCTTGCCATCGCCGCTTTATGGGGTTTTTTTTTTTTTTTTGTCTCTTTACAAATATTTGGACTCTTCGGGCGCTCCGCATTCTCGTGTGATGCGTCATATAACCTTCGAACGACGCTATCGAACTCAATACCTGCCTCGCTACCTCGGGAATGCGAGGACTGGTTAGCCATGGAGATTTACTCGCGTCCACCGGTAGCTGGAAGAGCGGGCTTGCAAGGTAGCATTCCGTTTCTTAGCAGAGCGGCATAACGGGAGTACTTACTTAGTACGACGTAAGTGCATGTACTCCGTACAGTACCTACGCCTACCGGTACCTTGCCTCGATAGGTACGTATTTGGATACGTACCTCAGGGTAGGGCACCTGGCTAGGTACCGGTATCTATCTACCGGTATGTGTACGTACCCATGATGGACAAATGCTTAGGTAATATGCTATGCACCCCTCTCTCTCTCCTCTCCTCTCGCCGATGCATCCGTCCATCGATCGATGTTGTGCCTCCCCATCTTCCCTGGCATCCATCAGGTGCAACGTCCAGTTTCTGACCATCCTTCGTCCATCTTCCGTACAGAGCATCGCCGACACCAACCAGCGCCCGGCCGATCCATATCTGCTCCGAGCACTGGATACGAGGCGGCAGGCGCAGTCGACATAACGCAGGTCGCTTCGCCTGTCATTGCAGGCAGGCAACCATTCATTTGACAATTGGGGGGGAAGAGAGACTCACACACACACACATATGAGAGAGAAAGAGAGAGAGAGAGAGAGAGAGAGTTGACAGCCGTCACTGTCTGTCACCTGATTCGCTGCTTGAAATGATTGGGCGTCGAACTGTTTGGACATCCATCTTCCAGAAGCCATTCATTCTTGGCTGTTGTTGGCATTGTCGCGCAATCAGCCCTCAATCACCCTCGTCTCTGTTTCATTCTTGCATCGTCTTTGCGCGTCGCTGGTTGGTATTCGCTTCATCACACCTCCGACATTGTCCGAGCCAGATCGCGCTCCATTGTCTACTGGCACGGCCCTGCATCATGCTCATTTCTCTCATCATCAATCACGCCACTTGATCTTCTTCCCCTCAACCTTGCCGACGCCACGCATACCTTTTCAGTCTGCTGTCTCTGGTCTCCAGATTGGGAACAAACGTACCACCGTCTGTTTGCCCCCCCCATGTTTCTGGCCGTCAGACCGATCTTCCGTCTTGGCAGAAACGACGACAAACTGTTTCATCGCCCGCGAATGAATGATTCGGGCCCACGGTCTATAGGCAATTCATATCAAAGGGGGCAAACAAAAAGACATCCGTCGCAAGCATGGTCGCCCTGCCATCCTATCAAGATGCTGTTAGCAGACTCGACTGGCTCCAACTTGTCGCGTCGTACGTCGGGGACAAGGACCTCGCCAGCCTTTGTTCAGTGAATAGACGATTCTACGCTCTCTTCGCACCCCGCCTCTGGAACGACCCGTTGGTCGCCGTACGACGCCTGGGATTGCATCCCAGCGACGGTACGTTTGTCTCAGGTCTTACCCGCACGCCATCGCTGACCCACGGCTCCTGTTACGCTACACCAAGACTTGGAGTGGTACCTCTCCTTTGTCTTCGATCACATGCAGCGCGTGCGGCCGTCGACCCTGGCTCTGATCACCACTCTCGACTTCCGTCACTTCGCCAAAGACACTGCTCATTTCTCGTCCGACAATAGCTCCAGAACAATCCCAGAGACTCTGCGCAGATTGCCCGGAATATTACCGAATCTAAGGTGCGTTCTCTTGGACGCCCATGTCGACGCAGATCCCGCCTTTCTAGCTGCCACCCCGCCACCCGAAGCAGGGGCGGGAACTATCCCCTCTGGCAGCAGCCAGGGCGTGCTGGCGCTCAGCCTCGCTCACTGCCAAACACAGCTGCCCAACGTCTTTTTCTCCTCGCATAGGGCCCAGCACTTGGTATATCTCGACGTCTCCGGCCTACCGGGTTCCCTGCAGCCGCTTGTAGCAGCGGCCAGCGGAGGGCGGAACCTCGGTCGCTTGAAGATGCTCAAAGCGAGGCGTCGAGAGGTCAACGACGCACTCGCTTTGTCCCTATTCGAAGCTTTCAAGAGCTCGCTGTGGAGTCTGGATATTGCCGAAAACAACATTACGGACGGCGTTCTCGATCACTTTGTCACGCACTGCTTCAATAGTCCGCCTTTGAGGTCTCAG